CCCCCCCCCCCCCCCCCCCCCCCTCAGTCCGTTTCTCCTCCCCCCTTCAATTGTACGTGACCCTGTCAACCGACGAAAGATCTACGCCACGAAGCTACTGGACCCATTTACCTGATTCTCTCCCTCTGTCTCGAATCCGCCCTCTGAATACATCACCCTTCCCCCCCTCCCCCCCCACTTACAGCACCCAATGTCCTGTGCATCACAGTGGGGTAAGATCACCACCAATCACCAAAAAAAAATTTTTCGCAAATCGTGTATGGCGCCGGCAGAGTCGAGCCGAGTTTTAGTAGTTGCTCTCATAAAAAAAAAACATTTTTTCGCAACGCCTCTCATAGATGCTGTGCAACTCGGTCTTTCAAACCTAACGCAAAATGAAACTTCGCAGGCAGGAATTTGCTTAACTGTAAAACCTAAGAAAAGTAGAATATGTCAAACTCACCACAGTGTTTTTGCCCATATGGCTGGAAGCATGAATCCAAAATAAGCAGCAAAAAAGACGGTGACATTTGTTAAGCAAATCAGAGTGCGAAATGGCGTTTGAAAAATCCAGATAATCCTGAAAGCAATCAATGGCAATGCACAATGGACAGAAGAAGACCGAATAAAACTGAGTTATTAAATTTTCAGCTCAAAATAAGTATGCTTAACAAAAACAATATTGCTTGTCACAGCTAAAGTCCGCAAAAAAGAAAAAAAAAAAAAAACCGTAGCCACACCATATTAATGAAACAGCGAAAATCCATCAAAAAAAAGCAAACGACGAAGTTACTGAAGCGCTTGTTTTACTACTGCTAAATGCTTCAGCAAACGTGTTGCGACAAAGAAGAGCTGTCCTCTGCCCAGGGTCACCGAGTCTGCTTCGCTGACAGCACGCGTATATCGCGTATCAACAAACGACAGAAACGAGAGAGGGAAGCAGCACTCGGATGGCTGCCCAGAGGTGAAGGAAGGTAAAGCTGGTCAAGATGGAGTTGCTCTTGGAATAATCGGCTATGGCATGCGGCCCTGATAATTACTGTTCCCCGGTCGATATAGGCAGCCCAAGGTTGGCTCGTATCTGTCGGGACTTCTTCGATAAGCACAACTTCCTGCTGCTGCGGACAGGAAACGCAGTCAGTGCTTGGCAAATAAAAAACATTGCTGGGCAAAATCGGCCTCTCAGTGACACCAACCATGGCTTATTTTCCACTCCGCATCGTCAAGAGGGAACGCACTGAGGAATACATACCGTTCGAGGTTAGTCTTCGTGGACCATGCAGATTTGTCGCCCGGAGGACGATACGGCGAATGAGGTCGCATTTGCGGTGCCGGGATCGAAGAGAGCGTCGTCATGCTGCACACGCTCTTGCCTCCCTCCTCCTCAACGAGCACTTCTCTCGTACCGGTCCCTGATGTTCCCGAAACGTCGAAGAAGCGAGAAAAGTGTGGGCAGATGAGCCCAGGTTCCAGCAGTCACACACTATCGCTAGCAGCACTGCGCCAGTATCCTGAAATGCAACGGAACGTGCAACACCTTCGCTCCAACAAATTATGGACGATGCACCGAGAACACAAGGCGTTTTTCCAGGCACAAAAAAATGATGCAGCCAGGGGAGGGGGCTAGGCGTCCACTGGCTCGCCGACGAGCGCAGCAAGCCCACGGACGAACTGGAGCCGAGTGCCATCACTGTCTGGCTTCAGAGCTCCGAGCCTAATTCAAACAGTTCAAGCTCTGGCAACAGTACCAGCAGTGCCCGCGAGAGGAATTGCTCCCGCACAAATGCCATGTCTTTTCCAGCAGCCCAGCGAACGTTGCGAGGACTGAAGGGAGCAGAGTAGTGACAACAAAACTGACAAGCATTCCAGCATATGTGACATGGGTACCCAAAAGCTACACTTCCCCTATCCCCTGCTAAGCATAAACTGAAACCCCCTCCACCGTACCCTCCATCGAACGGATCCGAAGGAAGGTACGTACCGGCTCAGCTTCGCAGTATTTTTTCATTTTGCTGCAAAACGCACTCGCTTGTGCATTAGTGAGACACAGTAGCATGACTTCTGGGTGATGCTTCTCCTATTGTAGGATAACGGTCCCACGAGCTCTGAATAAGGTAGATTCCAGAAGGTGTCTGGGTTTGAGGAGGAGAGACAGGTGGAACTGACTTGGGCTGCACAGGTACTCGGTGTGGGAGGTCTGGTACGGACTGCCGAAACTCGGCTCGGCCGTATAACATGCACTCTTTTGTGGGTGTGGATGAAGGGGTGAGTATTTTGCAGTGTAGTATCTCCTAATTTTTGAGGCAAAAGGGGGCAAAGGGGAAGAAGTGGGGCGAAAAAGTGTGGTAAAGTTTTTGAACAGCCGCCAGTTCTTGTCAAATTGCTTAAACTGTTTTATGTACGTTAGGTTTCGTTAAACCTCGCGCTAGCTTTTCAGGCCCAAAAAGTTTTGTTCGAGCAAAATAGAAATGCTTTAACTTATGTAGACTCATCCTCTGACAAGTAGCGTCGCTCTTTTTTGGGTATCTCTTGCATTCGCTGTGGCTGTTTGCTTGCTTTATGATATCTGATGTTTTTTGGGCGGGTTCCCAGCAGCTCTTTCAGTTTAAAGAAATTCATAACACTGTTAGCATTTGAATTACGAGACAAACAGATAAAACGGCCTGCATAAATGTTCCAAAGCAAGCTTTCAGCGCTACTGAAAATAAATTGCGAAAACTGGCAGATGCGATAATTATCCCCAGTGGCTCGGCGGGAAAAATGTGTGAAAGGCTTACAGACCGTAAGGTATGGCACAGCGCTGGGGCTCCAAATCCTCTCCTGCAACGTCTATTCGCTGATGCTTATCTAATGATGAGAACAACCTTAATAACTTCTGGCGTTTTGAATTTCTACAGAAATACTTTCGAAATAGAAATTGAATTTATTGCAAAAAAAAAAAAAAACTTCATTTTTTTGAAGCATTATAAATGTGTGATGGCATTTCCTGAAATCCGTAAGAAATACAATTCTTCGTGTGGCTTTTCAGGTCCAACAAGTTTTGTTCGAGCAAAATAAAAAAAATGCCGCTTTCCCGTTTTCAATGTAGTTCAAATTTACGCGCTATTCATTGGCCGCTGAATGAATTATTCATCAAATTTTAGATGACGTCTTTGCGTTCCGTAAAATTTTGCCATCTGCATCATATTTCGCAGAACGCTTCTGTTCTTGATTGGCTTCCTCACGATCCTTCAAAAAATAAAGTGGAACGGGGCTTTTAGAAGTCGATTCCGGTTGCAGCGCTGGCTTGCTGTGATCCATTTTGGCATAATTTACGCGTTCTTCCCCATCTGAATTGCCGTGCGATTCCAGCTGTACGCTCATGACGTTTCAGCAGTCATAGTTTTTTTAAAATGTTCGCCCATTAGAGGTATGTAAACACTGCATCGCGAGAGTCCCAGCATAAATCAGTGTTTGGTGAGCGATCGGCGGAGAACGTAAAAAAATTTACCGCAAAAATTTTTTGTCAACAATTTGAATGTCCTTAATTTACATTGAAATATTCTTCTAATACCGAATTTGCGATTTTAGGAATTTGCTTTAACAAGATTTCAGTTTTTGGTTTATGTGAGGCCATAAATATAAAACTAATCTCTAAATAATGCTGTCTCCAGGCGTATAATCTCGATATTACTTAAAATGGTGATGTGACATCCGAGACTACGAACCAAAAACTCCGTGTTTTTGCTGCCACAGTGAGTAGGAACGCATATTGTCGATAGGTCGTCCGTGTCTGTGTTCAAAAACGAGTGAACTTTGTCACCCACTTTCAACTCCGTAACCAGTAAAGCTGGGAGGCTGAAATTTTGGGGTTACATTCCCATCCCGTGTGTTATCCCCCCACCTTAAACTCTTCGGTCACATACGCCTAGATCTCGCGTCTAGCTATTACACACGCTTGTGCCGCGCGTGCGATCACGTGGAAGTTCGGTAGTTGGCACTGCGCCAACTCGAAGACTGGTCGTAAAACAGTGACTGAAATTTTGTCAGAATATTTCTTGTTTATGTGGAAAATCGTATACGTAAAGCAAGTTTCGATTTGCTTTTGCGCGACGGCTTAGGGCACATAGCGAAGCCGAAACTTTGCAGCAATATTCTATATTCACGTTTGATTTTAGTTCAGCTCAGAGGTGAAATCCTCCGCACGCAAACATGACAAATGTTCAATTTTTACCGCAAACTCAAAGGCGAGTGCATTTTGGAGATTGCATAATCCTTTTTCGCCTTCCCTCAAATTTGCACTTTTTCAATGAACGAGCATTCACTGAAAAAACGGCCGGGTTTCATGCAAAAAACTGATACTCATGCATGCTGGAGGTCCACGTGGCTCTATAATGCAATATGCTCGTCCCAGCCGACGTCCTTTCCCCTTGCATGCGGGCGTAGGCCAAAACACAGCCAGTATGAGTCTAAATGTTAAGCTGCAACACGAGAATCATTCTTGCTGTTAGCGATCTGCAAATTCAGCGCAAACTCGCAACGGCAAGCCTGATGCGTTACAGCCTAAGTTGATTCTGCATTTCCTTGGAGCATGAGCATTTTTCGTTTCTTTTTCTCATCTCTTTCCTTCAGGCATGATCTAAGATTAACTTTTTATAATATCAGATCAAATGAGTTTAAAAACCGCAACTTTGCAGTGTAATAAATTTTTTTTGCGATCCATGCGCGTGTACGTACAACAAATATTATGACGTGAGCACGCGCATGGTGGCAATTCAGTGAGGCCATTTTCAGTCTCGAAATTGCTCTCAAAACCAGATAAGGCTGGCTTTGCATCCCACTTTTGCACTCGATAGTTGTGAGTCATGCAAACAAAAAGAAGCATTATTGAAGATTTCAGTGAAAACTTAGCATTTTTTTGGAAAATACGCCAAAAATATTTGCTTTTTATCATTAACTGACACCTTTAATCATGTGGAATTCCAAGCTATTCAATAAACAATGAGGATAACAACTGAAAGCGTTAAAAGTAGTGACAATTAATGAAATCTCAGATCCAAGCCCAGTTTCATCTTACATTTTGGAAATTATGAAAGCTGGAAGTGGGAGGTTTTGGAAAATTCATGCTTTTTGTGGCTTGAGACAAATAACCTGAAACCAGGTTGTAGTCTTTAGTGCGCTCTGACCTTTTACCTCAGGCCCGAACTGAAAGATAATTTTGTATCTTGATAACCAGGAAAGCCACGCAAAAAAATTCTGGCAGGTTAATTCGTTAAGTAGTTTAAATTTAATTCATATACTCAGACGTGAATTTTTTGTGAACTGGGAGCTATCCCTGAACTCCGGGCTCATGTAAAATTCGTAACTTGACAACTAAAAAAGTTATTAGCCTGGAATTTTTTTCAATTATTCCGCCAGATGGTTCGGCAGTAGAAATATAAGATCACTCGTCGGCCTTGATGCATCTGGCCTGTGACCTTAAGCCTGATGCATCTGACCTGTGACCTTAAGAATGTGAAACTTCGGACTTCCATGCCATGCATATTTCAGCTTTCGCAACTTCTTGCAACAAAAACGCACAGTCGCGTCGGCCTGCCGTTGTACGTTGCTTTTTTTTGCTAATATTTTAATGGAATGTGGCACTACATGCCAATGATTTTGGCACTAATTTCCGTTGTGGAGCATCTTTCTAGAAACAGAAAAGAGTCTTTGCAGTTTACTAAATTAACACAAGTTGGACTAAATTAGCATAAATTTCACGGTGTTACTAGTTTCAGAATATAGCTGAAGAAGGATTACATTTGCATAGTGATGAAGCTATTTTACTATTTTCCTCCTAAAACTGACCAGTTTTTGCAATGCTTTTTTATCAAGTATAAATGTAGTTTTAAGAAACACAGGTCCGAGCTGCAGCGATGTGTATAAGTAGAATTAAATGATACTTTTGTGAACAGTACACTGAGTTGAAGTATTTTTATGAAAATGTGCCGCAAAAAGGAATTTTGTTAGCTAGCAAGTGCTAGTGAAATTCCCACTTATTGTATCATAGCCTAAGCGTAATGCATTTTGCGTTTTCACGAATGCAGATGAATGCATATCAAATTGAGACACATTGTTGTCAAATTTGCCTCTTGCGCATTGCTTATGACAAATCCTCGTGGCTTCTTTCTCTTGCAATCACAAATCCTCCTCGCGGTATCAGTTCTCCTTTGCAATTCTT